AATATAGGAAAAATTGCAATCAAGGTACCAAACTTTTTGTTTATTAGCAGATTTGATCCAAACTTTTCATTTGTGCCAATTGAGGTACCAAACTTTTAAAATATTCACACATCCAATCTAAAATGACGGTTTTCGTCTGTTTGACCACCAAAACCATTAATTGACCCTACTAATGAAAAATTTAATAATTTTCCCTAAATAAGTGAAGGGCAATCTGGACATTTAATAAGTTACAAGTCTATCTTCTTCAACAGCCCTCCATCCCCAACCCGCCAAATCAAAACTAATAGATTTACCGTCGGCTACTGTCGACTAGATGCAATTCCTCCGACGATTACCATTGCATGTGTGTGTGTGTGTGTAAAGGTGCAATCCCCCCCCCCCCCCCCCAATGGGATTTCTTAGTTTCCTCATTTTTCAGCTTTTCTACAAAAATCGCATCTTCATAGTTCTTGGTGATAGCAAAGATCGCTAGCAATTTCTTAAAATTGATAGGATGTGTAGCGAGGGTTTCACTTGGAGCATATTGTAGAACGAGGTTAATATGTCATCGGTATTGATTTGTGAGGATAAATTTATTGTATGTGTTTGAGTTTTTGAAGAGGGATTGGAGGTTGAAATTGAGTTGGATGCTAGAAATTTAGTGGGCGCATACATATTGATGAAAGCTTAGCTCTTTGGAAAGTTCTTGAAGCCATTTCTGATGCAATGTTAGGGGGTTGGCGATGGATTATAGTAGGTGTATAAATATATTGTTGGTGGTGGTAGGGCTATTATCAATTATTTCTTTGACTTGGTTTAATTTGCAGAATATCAGCAATGGTTTCGCTTATGTTGTTGAGGGTGATATTTCCTTCACGGTCGTGCCGACGCTGGGTGGTGGTAGTGGTGTTTGATTTTAGGTGGTGGGAAACGATGTTGTGTGGGGTGATGAAGGAGACAACCATTTTTTTTTCTTTTTTAAATATTTTAGGTTTTAGAATTGTAAAGTTACTATTTTGCCCTTATTATATTTGATTAAATTCTTCTATTTCGATCAACTAATGGTTTTCATTCATTTGGACTTGACTTGTGAATATTTTAAAGATTTGGTATCTTCAATGGTACAAATAAAAGTTTTGGGTCAAGTCTGCTAATAAACAAAAGGTTTGGTATTTTGGTTGCAATTTTTTCATTAATCTATTTCATTTTTTTAGTTCTCCGTTTGTGTGTGACCTACTAGGTTCCTCATCACAATACGTAACGATGTGAATTATTATTTTGATCTAATATCCTTTTAATTTGTCGTTAATTCACTTAAATTAATTAATTACATTTGTCGTCCCAAATTGTCATTTAGCACTGTGTCAGAGAAATATATATGATGAAAAATGTTGCATGGTATAACAAAATCAAACTTGTTCCTTTATCGTGAAACTATAATTCCTTTATCAATACGATTCCGTCAATTATGAGATATAAAGTTTGTCAATCTCGATTATTCATCATATATTTCATCCTCCTATTAAGTTAATGTAAATCGAAAATTCTTTTCAACTTATGAGTACACTTGATCAAGGATTTCGTTATCAGCTTAACTCAATAAAATGTAAATCATAATCTCTTACTATCTATGAGTGAGAAATCTTCTATTGATCATTTACAACTTTCATATGATTCGTGATGTACTTAAACAACGCCGTATTAGTTACTCTTGATAGGGCAACAACAAACATTATCACATTATGAATGTTCTCATTTAAAGTACTACGACGACCTCAAGTCATAGGAACAATTTTACTATTGAGTGTTAGAGATTAATCATTGGCACTCAAATAGTTATTTATGTGGAATCTCTCATGGGATCTCCAATATGTTATTCTCTTAACGAAACATTTATGTGTTCATTTAAGTATAATCACACTTTAACTTATAGATCAGTTACTTCACACGTAAGAAATGCTACACATGATGATTTATCCATAATAATAATATCCATATCTCATTATTACTTACGACTATGGATAATTTAAGATTCAATCATATGTAATTTGTATTTCATAATCACAACTCATTGCGATACAAGCTATTAAGACTTAAATCTATGAACTCTATTATTTAATTCATTAGAACATTGATTACTAGATAATAGATCTACCTTAAATAAAATGCATCAATTATATATTAAAAGTATTTATATTCAAAATCGATTGAATCTAGTACATAACACTTACACTATTTACCTTAACAAAAATTGAATTTTGAGATAGAAACCAAATACTCAACATTTTCACCCATATTGGAACATGGGCATGCCAAGTGTGTAAGGGGATAGGAGAAGGTCCACAGCAGCTTTAGCAAGTTAATATATTAAGGATTATACTCCTTGGCCTTGGTAATGCCATGGTTTATTAAAGGCATTGAAAAGGAAGAAAGATAATACGATAATTATATATCTAATTTAGAGAATAGCGAAGCAGCATAAGATAATCCTTTGATCCCCTAATTTTACCAAAATATCTAAAATCTAAGTATACGTCAATGTAAGTCATGTGTTCGTGCTCTAGCACAGTATTAACAGTACAAAGGACAAGAATGTCTTTTACTTTTTCTCTGATAATGTTTAATGCTCATCTAAACTATTTGGAGACCTATCAATTACAATAAAAATAAGGATAAATTTCATTGTGGGTTCTCAACCTTTTCGATTTGTGACAATTTTGTTCCTATTCTTCTCTCTCTCTCTCTCTCTCTCTCTCTCTCTCTCGTCCTCAACCTCCCATTAATTCACTTAGATCATCTCACTGACGAATTCCATCCAAATCTATCATTTAAGTCAAGTTTTGTAACGCACACGAACTTTTTATCAAGTCACTTGAAAATCAATTTCGTCCTATACATTAATAAACAATTGAAAAACAAAAATAACCCAAACCCACCCCAAAAATCACATGCCACCATCTCAAAATCCATCTTCACCAAGATAAGAGATATTTCATCGAAAACAAGGACACTTATATTGTAGTAGAAGCATTTTGTTAAAGATGAAAATATCTTGTTACTAGGTCTCCCCTCGGAAAAGATAAATATTAACTTTTGAGGAACTTTTTAAGAAGTAGTGGTGACATCACGAAATATATAGATAATAACGACTAATACTTTTAATATTTATTTAAAATTAATCTTTGACTTTGATTAGACAGTGAAAATAAATTTAAAGTTTCTAAAAATATTTTCGAAACATAGATTAGTGAACCTTGGATTTCATAGGGATCATTGTATTCAACATCCACTTTAACATGACATAAGTACAGCATAGAGATTTGTGCAGAGCAAAATTTTCTCTAGACAGCCATCAAAAGTATATTTGAATCTTGCTTAAGTGTATGAAGAGAGTGCATTTAATGGTCATCTCTCGAAAGTAAAAGCCATACCAACATCCTCTTACAAGTTATAATCATATATAAAACGTGATGTTCTGTCATGTACCTTGTACACGTACACATTTTTAAGTTTGCGTATGTGTCCGTCTTACTTCTCTGTCACAATCTACCAAATCAATTAATTTTATTTTTTTATTTTTTTTTAAAATCAAACTCTTCCTTGGACAAGGTATTTAGTACATGTATGTTGTTGTTCCTAGATCCGAAAAGGAGTATGTTTGATGTAACTGTTTTTTTTCTCTTCCTTCTCAAAATTTTAAGCTACAACAAACAGTGACTTGTGTAACCTCAATTATTATGCCCTTATTTTGTGAGGATTAAAATCAAAATTTTAATAAACTTTAATAAAAATTGGTAAAATATGTGCATAAAAGGTTGTGGTTCCATGAAATATGATTAAAATAGTTTTTCGACTTTTAAATTTAAAGTAAAATTTTAGGATTATTCTGTTTGGAGAGAGCCACGTTCACCCTGTCCAAACAGGGGGCCTAATTGGACCCCTATTGGAGGGGGCACGGGCCAAGGGTGCCATTTCAGCACCTTGGACGAACGGGGCCATGTCCATCCAGCATTGCCCAAAATTTTAATTTTACCCTATCAAACAAGCTATATTTATATAATGTCTTCATCTCTGTCCGTCCAACATTGCCCAAAATTTTAATTTTACCCTATCAAACAAGCTATATTTATATATTGTCTTCATCTCATTTCTTTGGCACATATTGGATATATAGGACATGAGCCCAGTGGTTGTAGGCCAATAAACCTAGCTACATTAGTAAGCCAAAAGCATAAGGCAATGTCCTTGTCATTCTCCTCTTTCTCAATTCTAACCAAATGACACTACCATGTACCTGTCCCAAGTCTCTCCTCACTCTCCTTTTTAAAGTCTCGAGATCCTCTGTTTCTCAATCTTGAGGTTGGAGACATAAAGAAAGAGAGATAAATGTCGCCAGAGAGAGTGGCAGAAAGAAACTGATAGAGAACTTTCAAGCACCCCTTTCTTCAACATCACTCAACCAGTCTCTACACTTCAGCCTCAAACTGAAGTCTTATTGTTTTCCAATCTTTAGTTAACTTCAATCTGAAAATTGCGTTTGATCCCCAGCCCTCATATTTTCCTGTCCTTTTCTTTGTCTTGTACCATGTAGGTCTCACCCCCACAAACTCCACAAACCAGCTCCTCAATTTCTTTTCTTTATCTTGTTGTTCTTTTTACACTTTCACCTCTTTAACTTTCAGTTTGTTGTTCTGTTTTTTCAGGAGATCAGAAGGAAATCCATTAGACCTCAACAACTTACCTGAAGATTACATAAAAGATGGTAAACAGATCCTTGATGACAGCTCTTCATCATCTGGTACAATACTTTGTACTGCATTAAAAATAAAATTAAATCTTCATCATCTGGTACATCACTTTAAAAATAACATTAAATCTTATAGGTAGGGGGGTTTTCACTTCATTTGCTACTTCATCTTGCTGATAGTGGTCCATTTGGTTCCAAATGAAATTCTTTAAGCTTATTTGGTTTCAAAACATTCGAAATTAATAACATTAGAAAGATGGTTTTCAATTAAATGGCTATTGCATCCTGTTGAATTTTTATTTTTTTCATTTTTTTGAAATTTATTTTGGCTCTTGGACTTAAAACGAAACCCTAGAAAGAAAAAGAAAAAGCCAGCAAAATTGTTGGCTGGAATACTGATTCATGATTCTGGAATTAGGGCTGCGGGTTTAGGTATAAGATTAGTCTCATCAAAGTTGCTTTAATTGGAATATTTTGTAACAGCCTACGGGAAAAAGAAAAGCAATACTACGGACGAAAAGGATCAGACTGGGAAGGTCTATGAGTGTAGGTTTTGTTCAGTGAAGTTTTGCAAGTCTCAAGCTCTTGGGGGACACATGAACCGCCACCGCCAAGGCAAGTCTTTTCAATCTATTCCATTTCCCTATTTAATTTTGTTACTTTTACTGAATGATATTCTATGATACAACAATCAATTTTTTCATTGATTTCTTCAATTTTTATTACACTTAAACGAGATGTCAATCAAAATATCCACGTTGAATGTACAAGTAAATTAATCCTTTCTTAAATTCCCTAAAATAAACAAGCCCTCGATGACCATGCGTGAGAAGGAGAAGTATGATCAAAGTATAAGAAGTGTAAATTTTTAATTACAATGTACTCCAATCTCTAGACATGATAAGTTTAATATTTTTTACTTACTTTTTTGTAATAGTTGGTAGTCCTATCGAGCCCAAACAAAAAAATAAAAACTTTTCTTCTTCATACTAATTAATAATAACTTTGTTAAACTGACAGAGAAGGGTTGACAATTTCCTTGATCGAACACTCACAATAAGGGGGTGAAGATTACTTTTTTTGGAATTTTGTATTCAGGCAAATCCCACAAGCATGTCAAAAAATGTCAATGCTTCTGTTAATAATTTTCAGTCAACTCAGATTAAATTAACAAAGGATAGTTTATAAAATATTTATTTGACTACCAATGATTTTCTTCCTTTTCCTGAAGCCTTGTCATGTCAATCTTGTTCACAAATAACTATTTATGTGTGGTTTCTTTATTTCTTGGTAGCTGTTCATTCCGCATGATTTGATAACTGTTGTCTGTTTATGTTCCTCAGAGAGGGAGACAGAAACACTGAACAAGGCCCGTCATTTGGTCTTCACCAGTGATTTGTCTCCAGGAGCTCATCAGCCAGGGTATCTTTCCAACTATAGGCTGACCTAGCTTTTGTTATTAAATTTGCAAACTTGATTTCTTGCAATTTCTAAAGAATTTTTTGTATGTTTACATGATTTTCCATTTGAAAAATGATTGTCGATTTTTCAACAGTAATGCTTTTTTTCTGTTCATGACGAGCTTGGACTATTTGTAGTGGCCAACCAATTCTACATGGAAATATTATGGGTGATCCAACCATGCCATTCAGATCAATATGCCCAACAAGAATGTTTTCTGGTTCTTCACCCCTTTTTCAACCACCTCCAGAAGGACTGTCGCCACTGCCACCACCTCCACCACCGGGAATGCCGCTGCCTCCACCCCAGCCTTACTTGTACACTTCTTCTTCGCGGATAGGCTCCATTCCCACGCAATATCCTGGGCAATTTGTGAATGACTACTTTGTTGCCGGCCATGTCCACCCCGGTAACTCGCGGTATTCACACTCCAAGTCTAGCTATTCTTCAGCACCGCAAGATACCAATTTCACCTGCCTAGGCACACCAGTTGGACATGGATTACCATGCAGCAGAGGAGAGGACGGAGTTGATGATGTTAGAGACAAGTCACAACACAATCAGGAGGAAGGATTGGATTGAGGCTGGAAGTAGAAGACAAGGACAATATTGCAAGATTTTGAATCTTTTATTGACAAATCAGTTTCAAGATGAAAGATTTCATATATTTTTTTGTGGGTTTTCAGAATTTGTTTTCTTTAGTGAGAGTGCAAGTGTTATCTGCTGTGACAAGGCGCTCTCACTGAAAGAGTAAAAGAATCCGAACAAAACTGACAAATGGGGATATGCAAAGAGAGAAGTTATGGTTTTAATTTGTGCAGGTAAATAAGCAGCTTTTCGTGCTCACACAGCTGAGCTTCTTAGTTTGTCTTGAAGCAGGGATTGGATGAGTTCTATTTTTTGTTCACGACAAGCTGTGAAATGGAACTAGATATGAGAGGGATGCTAGTGCAACTGGGACAAGGACTTAGATTTCAACAGAACGTACCCTTTAGGGTTTCCTCGCATAGGGATTTCATTCTCTCTCTCTCAAGTCATTGATTAGCCCATGTTTAGTGGAAACTAAAAATCAGATCTTTACTAAATTTTGATGAAAATTGATAGAATGAATGGTTGAAAATTATGGGTCATATGAAATATATGATTAAAATTAATTATTGAATTTGATTCAAACTAAAATCTAAATTTTATAATTTTTACCAAACAGAAACTTAATACTGCAACCAACCAACCAACCAAAAAAATAAAAAAATCACAATCTTAGAAGGGAGTAAACACTTGAGTCAAAAGTATAAATTTGAGAAATTAACCGTTCTAAAAAAATTAAGAACATACCAAAAGAATTAAAAACGTTGTGCCCTCATCAATGTGTCTTATGTCCAATCATAAACTTTGTTAGCTTGTCATAGTTGTGCTCACTGTCCTCTTTAGCCCTTGTCGTTATCTCAATGTATTTATCCATATTTCTATGTAATCAGAATAAAAAAGAATTGTGCTGGATTGTACCACTTCCATATTTGGACGGCACATAATAGAAAGGTTTTTGAGGAACTCAGTCTGCAAGTTGATAGCATTGTAAGATGAATTAAAACACACATATATAAGGGGGTATGTTTTGCTTTGTGCCCATATATTATGATTCATTTTGAATCTTTAGCTTTGGGATTATAGTGTCCATCGTTTGTATATCTTTTCTTTTGGTTAGCCCGCACTACTAAAAATTAGCTTTTCACCTTTGTATAATTACTTACGGATTGTTTCCGTTGGTAAATAGAGATAGATTATCCGTTTGTAAAAGTATTAGACTTTCAACTACAAAAATCACAAATGAAATTTTCGTTGATAAAGTGGTAGCTCTTCACTAATGGATGTTCCGTGCCTAATATTTTTGTTTAATATACGTACCATTTACCAACGACATTTCCATAGGTGATGTAGTTCAACTTTTTTCTAAAAACTATGTCAATCTTTCACCTACGGATTTTCCATGAGTCATATTACCAACAGAATTACCGTTGCTAATATTAATCATTTTTTAATACACTAATTTTACAACAAACTGCTCTCTTAATAAATGTACAAATGAATTAATTATTAAGAGGTGCTAACAATTTTATGAATAACAATAAATGATAACTCAAGTGTTATATGAAAACTTCGATAAATGTGATAATTAAAAGTTTGATTCAAACAATTAAAGCTTTTTCAATGAGAAGATGAAGAGGAAATAACTGCAATGTAAGTTAAAAATTCTTCTCAAAATATTTCTCTCTTTTAATGAAAATCTCAATAAATTAGGTACTAAGAGAGAGATGAAAAACTTTTACGAATATAATGATTTTTGAAGTTTGATTCGATCAATTAAAGTTTTGTAAAAAAGTAGAAGAATTACGTGTAAGTTCAAAGAATTTTTTTTTTTCAAAATATATCTCGCTCTTATGAATGATAGCATATAAGTTAAGTATCAAAAGAAAGAAAAAAAACTTTAATGAATATAATGATTTTCCAAATTTGATTTAATCAATCAAAGTTTTGATAAAGAAGTAAAAGAATAAGATGCTATGTAAGTTCAAATATTTTCTTCAAAATATATCTGATTTTGATGCTCTTAAAAGTCTTGTTAAATGAAAAGAGTGGAGGTATTTATGGATCTCAAAAAACAAAAACTCTATCTAATCGGACAACCAACTAGACGTCCACCTTTGGATCCAAACCAACGAAATAGCCATTATGCATATGAATATCTAACGATCAAAAATTCGACCGTTGCTATAATGCCTCGAAAATTTAAAAATAAAAGCTATTTGTTTTATATAGTATATATTATTATTTTGGAAAAAAAAAATTATGTGACTAAAATGAAATAAGTTAAATTTCTATTTTTTTTTATTTGGGTCTAATAATTAGATTTTTTGTAGAACAAGATTTAAGCCCCGTTTGGCCTTCTTTAAATCTCATAATTTAAATTAAATTTTTCTTTCTTTTATTTTCAACCACACAATCTTCAATAAAATAATATTACATGTAAATCAAAAACTTCTCATTCTTTTACCACCACTAAAAAAAAAAATACTATTCCTCCCATTATAATTCAAATTAATGGGGCCAAATGGGGGCTTAATATATCATTGGACTCATTTTGTAACTCGTAATTTATTAGAAATTTTCAACTCGATAAAAAGTTGTTTCGGATAAAATCACTTTAAGTTAGACCCAATTGAAAGAAAACAAGATTAAATAGAATTAGGAATTAATATAATTTCCTTTCATTAGAGATTCTCGGCAAAAACTGTTGACTAATTAAGCCACCTTTTGTTTAAGCATAATCTTTATTAAAATAAGATAGAATTTTTATTATATTGGAGGATTTCTTTTGAAAGATAAACTATATTATAGTAGATAAGCGACGGCAAATGAATTTTCTGTTGCAAATATAGTATTGGAGATAATCTCAAACTCTTTTGGATTTAGTTGATTCTATTTTTTTTTTTCAATTTAGAAATCAGCCACGTATGTGTGTGTTCTAAGTAGATATAGGTAAATCTTTTTAATTAATAGGGATAAAAATTTAAGTCTAATAGTTCACCTAGAGTTTATATTTTCTATAGTGTCCCACTTTACCATTTCACTTGAGGGCGGCCATGTGTAGTGTCCTAACAAGTTAACCCCAATCTTTGTTTTGACAATAAATTTCATTTTGACTAAAAAATACACCATGATGTGATGTTCCAATGTCCCACTTTCAATAAAATCTAAATAAGGGGACACGTGTATGTAGAATGGATATATTAAACATTTGTAATTGATTTACTTTGTATCACTTTTCATTGTCATTCATTGGGATTATGATTAAATCATATCAAATCTGTTTAAAATAGAACCCATCTTGTACTCTAGCCACACCTATATAAAGGCCACGGGTTCCAAGAATATACCTACAAAATTCCAAAAAGCTTTTTCTTATCTAAAGAAAATAAATAGTAAGTCGTAGAGAATGAAGCATAGAAAAGGGGTCTTTCACATGCATTTTCTGGTCCATCACAATTTTTTTTTTAAAAACAATCAAGGTAAAATACTTTTGTGCAAGTGGTTGTTTTCATATAATTTTATGTGTTCAATAATTTATACATGAATTGCTAAATGTATCTTCGGGTCGACTTAATGAAATGTGAACTCTTTTGTGTTCTTTATAATGAGATGTGAAATCTTTCGAGAATTCAAAATGACAAATGATGGGTGTGTCGCTTGGTCACCGATATATCCTATAAAAGAAATTTGGTATGAAGTGTTTGCTTCATTGCTATATAATTGTCTATGGAAACTACACGTATGTTACTAGATATTTTTAAATATTCACTCTTACATTAAATCTTACTTGTTAGTGCGGGTCGATTAGATTTGTGGTAGGGCAGTGATGTGAGCTGCCAAGAGGATAGTAGGAACAGAGAATAAATTTTTCATTAAGTTTTTTTACCTTCACAATTTTTTTTAATTTATTTTAAGACATGTTTATTGTTATTTTTCAGATACAATTGCTATGTTTACTTTAAATTTATAAATGCCGCAGTTATTATTTATCAAGGAATTTTATTTTGATCTTTTCGCACGTAAATTAAAAAAATGAAATTTTGGTAATGCTCCGATGTTATGCAAATTTGGGAATTTTATAACTTGGTATCAAAGCTTAGGTTTACTTTTTTGTAGACTCAAATTACATTCTGCACTGGGGATTTGACATGGTACTACATTTTAATTCAATTGTATCTTGTTTGGACGTCATAGTACGATCAAGTTTATAGAGCACTCCCAAATTGATAGAAGAAAGTTCATAGATGTCTTTTCATATAGGCCCCGTTTGGTAGGGATTTTTTGACCGTTATTTTACTATTCAAGCCGTAATTTTTGACTTCTTCTCTTACATGTGGACCCCACTTTTTTTCTAACTGTCAAAAAATCAATTCTCAAAATCCCTACCAAACGGGCCCGTAAGACACATTTGTACCTGTGCATGCACACACAACACAAATATTAAAACATTTTCTATGTTGTGTACATGGACAGTAGGTAGGAAGCCTATATTGTTTATAAATATATGTGCCAGTGTGTGTTTGACCATATATTTACAACATATGGGTTATTAGTTCAATAATTATTAGAATAAGATTAATGTTTGTTTCAAATTATTTTTAAATATGTTGGTTTAAACTTTAGATTAATATAGTTCGACACTCATGTATTTTGAATATTTATGTGCTTAACTTTAAATCGCGAGGATATTTTAAGTAAAAAAAATTATTGTTTGAGTTTTCTTAATTTACGTATCCACAAGACTGAAAGGCTCCGTCAAAATGATTTAAACTATCTAAGGCAAACTTGGGATTTAAGTGATCCTCTTGTGACCTCCCTTCTTACCTGGAAACCTTTTCAGTTTTCTGTTATCCAAATCATTAAGACGAAAAACAATAGTTTTAAGAAAATTCTATTTTTCAGAAACTTCTATTTTGAGAAAAATCCTATTTTAGGAAACTTCCATATGTACATGAATTATTATTATTGTATATTTTTTTTATTAAGAAAAATAA